GGAAAATTGAGGGGACTTTGGAAGAAGTTCAGAGAAGAGCAACTAAGGTGATCAAAGGCCTATAAACTAAACCATATGAAGAAGGGCTGCAGGTTTTGGGTCTGGCTAGTCTGAAGAAAAGAAGAATTAGGAGTGACATGATAGCAGTATTCCAATATTTGAGAGGCTGCCACAAAGAAGAAGGGGTCAAATTATTCTCCAAAGCACCAGAGGGCAGGACAAGGAATAATGGATGGAAACTAATCAAAGCGAGAAGCAACCTGGAATTAAGGAGAACCTTCCAAACAGTGAGGAAAATTAAACAGTGGGTTGCCTTCATAAATCATGGGTGCTCCATCACTGAAGGTTTTTAAGAAGAGACCGGACAATCACTTGTCTGGGATGGTATAGGTTCCCTGCTTGATTGAGCAGGGGGCTGGACTAGAAGACCTCCAGATTCTATTCTATTCTATTCTATTCTATTCTATTCTATTTCTATTTCTATTTCTATTTCTATTTCTATTTCTATTTCTATTTCTATTTTTATTATTTCTATTTCTATTATTTCTATTTCTATTATTTCTATTTCTATTCCTATTCCTATTCCTATTCCATTCCATTCCATTCCTTTCTATTTCTATTTCTATTTCTATTTCTATTCTATTTCTATTCTATTTCTATTCTACTCTATTCTACTCTATTCTATTCTATTCTACTCTACTCTACTCTACTCTACTCTACTCTACTCTACCCTACCCTACCCTACCCTACCCTACTCAACTCCCATCCTATCCCATCCTTTTGGATTGTCCTGGCACAGTTCATGAATATATATACAGAAATGCAAGAAAAAACGCAGATGTGTGCATGTACACACACACACGCGCGCACACATACACAAATGTAAGTCCCCGCCAAAGTCCAGCAAGTGTTCAAGTGAAGTCCCAAGGAGCTAAATGTTGCAGAAGGTTCATCAGGCAGTCTAGGTCCAGAATTAAAAATAATGAAGTTTCAAACCAAGGCGCACATGATGGAATCTGGGTAAAGAAGCAGTCGCTGCCAACAAAGAGGCTTGAGTCTGCTGCTCGTCTTAAATAGAAGCAAACCCAGTGTGGCTTGTTAGGAAGGGGAAGGGCTCCTTTCTTGCAAGGAGCCTTAAAGAGCAGCTTTCCTCTGCTGCTCTAGACAGAGGGAACCCTTGCGGGAGTCAGGGTGTGTTGTGGTTAGCCGGCAGCAGGTGCGGACGGCTGAGGAGAGCAAGGACTCAGATGAGGGGCCAGGACCATTAGGGAGTGGACTGCTGCCTTCAGAGATTGTGGGGGCTGGTAGCAGCGATGAGGAGGTTCCCGAGGAGCCTGTGCCAAGTGCACGTGCGTGAAGGATTGTTCGGAGGAAAGAGCATCTGCAGCAGCACAGGCGACTCAGGAGTAAGGCTGCAAGGTAATGGCCCCTCCCTCAAGAGGATACAAGCCAGGTTTGAAAAAACGTTCTTTGCAGAAAGGAAAGAAGCTCTAAGGATCCAGCATTATGTGTAGAGACTCTGGCTTATCTGAATAATTCTGTCAAGACTTTTTTGGTTGGACTAATTGGCTGCAAGCCATCTTTTATCTCTACAAAGAAGTTTATTTGTAGATTAAAGCTGTGAAGGTTTGAGTTGCTGAGTTTGTTTTGAGATTTTCTTGCTGGTAACAGGGTTGGGTCAGAACAGGGTGATAGTATTTGCAGCTCAGTCTCCTCATCTCCAGAGACTGGTAGCAACTACTGTCTACTCCTTGCAGCTCCTTGGGCAGTGGCTCATCCAGCAACTTGAATCGGCTGCTCATTGTTGAGCTGGCCATGATAAGTACAGGAAATGTGGTGAGAATATTGCCAAGGGCCTTCAGAGCACCAACGTTTTGATACGTGTTCAACAGCAACTCCTAGAATCCTCAAAAGTCTTGATCCAGATTTTTAAGTTAGCATTTTTTCCTGTAAAAGACTGAGTAACATCTAATTTAAATTCTGATCTCAAGGTATCTGAGAAAGGACAAGAAACATTCAGTTTATTAATAGCATGCACAATTTATTTATTTGTTAAGTTTATTTAAGTTTATAGATGATATAACAGATACAATAATGATAGATAGTCCCATCTCTAACCCTATAATAAGAGGAACACTCTTCTAATTCCTATATCTCCATGGTTTGCCTTACAGGAATCTGCAATTGAACTAATATTTGCAGCTTTCTTCACCACTGCCAGCGCCACTACTTCTATGATCTTACTCTTATTGAAACACCCATTGGTCATAAAAAAGATCCAGCTGGAACTGGCCTCCAATGGATTCACTGGGCAGTGTCAGTGCTTTGGAGCTGAGGATTTTCTAACAAAATACCCGTCTGGCCAAAAAACTTTGCCTGCACATGAGAAGGAAAAGAAAGAGGGTGACTCCAACGTGCCTCTTCCACCCAGATTGGGAAGAGAACAAGGGCGAGAGACCACGATGGAAGAGAAAGGACCTAATATAAACATCATGGCTAAAGGGTCCCAGGATATTGTCCATGGAACTACAAATGGTCCTAGCTCATTGTCCAGGCTGGAAGAAACAGGCCAGTTCTTTAGCAGTCTGGAAAGATCTGAGTATTGTTGCCACCCTTACTTGACCCTGGAGAAGTTGAATCATCTGCGCTACTTGGACTGTGTCATTAAAGAAGTTCTCCGTTTGCTGCCCCCAGTATCTGGAGGGTATAGGACAGCCTTACAAACCTTTGAGCTAGATGTGAGTTGAGTGGCTTGCTCTCTAACCTTTTGGGGGAAGTGTGAGGAACTTGGGTTTACCTGGATTTTAGAAGGCTAGGCTGAGTATTTTACATGGGGACCCAGAAAGAACACTTTTGGTTCCTAGTAATTCCAAGAGCCTTTTCTGTTTAGAGCCAGAAGATATGTGAGGAATCTCTGGGCCATTTGTAGGAAGGTGAGCTTTTGGGATATGGGAAAAGATATCTCACATGAACTGTAAGTACTGTAACCAGGGATGGTAAACAAGATCCCAAGTCCTGGGTAGTGGACTGTGATAATGAGTGATGAAGTTTGTGAAGCAAAGTTGTTAGAGTTTGTTGCAGAAATCACATCCAGAAAGCACACACAGATAACTGATTCAGCAGGATTCATTAACTTCTTTATACACATGAAGTAAATTTACAATACCAACAGCAGATTCTTCCACTGTGACAGCAGTTACAGGGCAAAACACAAGCAGAGGAGAGAACAGCAGAGAACAGTTTCAGTTTTGATTCAGAGCTGCAGGCAAGTTTGCAGCTTCAAAGCTCAGAGCTTAATACAGAACCATGTCCAGGGTCCTTCCAGTTTCAGTTTCCAAAGAGTCCCCATTGGCTGACTTAGTTGCTATGCCTATTCATTGGTTGACCTTGTTACCATGTCTCTGCCAGTTCATGAATATTCTGACAAAAGTCAAGTAGAAAGATTGTCCGAGCACAAATTTGTATGCTGGTCTCTGATTCAGTTTCTGGCATCACTATTTTAGCAATGGAAAGAAATACTGCTTCAAATGCTGGAGGAGCTGCTATCAGATCCTGTCAGCGAGCAAGATGGATCAATGGCCTAATTTGATAGAATCCAGAGAACTGCATATTTTTCATCAGAAGATTGAGAAATGGAGAGAGAAGTCAAGACAAATGCTTCATTTAGATCACCAAAATGATTGTGCCCATTGGGCAAAATTTAGGAAGAATTTCTGTTACGGTTTGGTGTAATGATTAAAGGCACTGGGTTAGAAGCCAAAGGATTGTGGCTACTCCTACCTCAGTTCTAAAGCCAGGGGGGTGACTTTGGGCCAGTCCCTTTCTCTCCATCCTAGGTAGGTCAGCACAAGCCAGTTTCAAAAATGTTGCAATGAGAACTACTAGAACTTGTCCCAGAAGTCAACATTGATCCATAGCATGAAAAAGAGGGGAGGGAACAATATAACGGCTAGTTACAATTGCTCTGATCTGAATGGCACTTGGAACAGCCATGCCAAGGTAGTACTACTATTATGGCCATAAATATCTCAGTTCATGGGCATTATATTTTTTACTAACTGTGAAATACTGATATTTTTTAAATAAACAGGTTCCCATGTTCCTTGACCTAAAGCAGCATTCAGACACACACATGGTCTATTCATGAATTTTTCTCTCTGCTGTTTAGTCTGAAATGGCAGCACTTTGTAGCAGAAAATCCACATTTTAAAATGTATATATTGTTTTTTTGTAGAGTGTCAGTAATATTTTTGAAGTTAGCCTGTCTAAGCACATCGGACAGTGGACAAAGTGAGGCTCGTGTTGTCTCTCCAAAAGATTGGACCACACTGTTGTGAATGTTTGTGAATGTTTGCTCACCCTTTCAGACAGGTTTCATCTGTCTGGCTGCTGTCTGTGGTGCTGATCTTGTTCCATCTCTCCTTCCCTTCTTCCTTAAAGGGCTACCAGATTCCGAAGGGTTGGAGTGTGATGTATAGTATTCGAGATACACACGAGACTGCCAGCATCTACCAGAGTCCCCCCGATACTTTTGATCCAGAGAGGTTTTGGGTATCGCCGGAAGATCAGGAGGAGCACAAAACTTCAGCCTCCTTCCGGTTTCACTACATTCCCTTTGGTGGCGGAGTCCGCAATTGCATAGGCAAAGAACTGGCCAAGGCGATTCTCAAGATGCTTGCCATTGAATTGGTCAGCACAGCCAGCTGGGAATTGGCCACAGCTCATTTCCCCAAAATGCAGACCGTGCCTATTGTGCACCCTGTAGACGATCTTCAAGTCTATTTCCATTCTCTGAAGGCTGGCCATGAAAGCAGCAGTGGAACAGGCAAAGTCAACGCCTGAATGCATAGACATCTCCATTACATCTCTAGTTTAGGAATAGACTAAGACAGGCCTCTGGGGCAAAACACCACTTTCCTTTCAGTGCAAGCCCCTTCAACCTGCCTCTTTGTTTTGGAGTAAGAGAAAAGGATGGACTCACTGCACTCTCCCTTAAAGGCCTGTGAATTTGTTCTTTGGACAGATATATGCATCAGTTGGTCTCTCATCTTTAGTTGCATTTTTTGTTTGATAACAAAGTGCATAACCACTTTGTATTGTGGTTAAGAGGAGAGTTACGCCAAAGAGAAATGTCTTGGGAAAAAGTGGTGATGTTAGTTCTACACGAGGATTAAGGATATGTAGCTCAAAATTGGATGCAGTGAAAATGTTGGGAATCCATGATCTAGTCTGCCCTATGGAGTTTCTTCAGGACCCCTCACAACTTTTGAACAAGACTGCTGCTCCATTGCTTCCTTACAAGGTGGCTCTGCTTTATTCCTGATGGGAGGGAACCTTCATAGCTGTGTTGCCTTAAGCATGGAAAATGCTCCAAGTACAATTCAGAAGGGCCATCCGAAAGGAAAGGGACTGACAAAGCAAGGACCAACAAAAGAAACGGAATATCAAATAGATCAGGAACGGACTTTGCTTCAGGATGTGCTTTTTGTATGTTGTAGACAATGAATGTAACCACGTTCTGCATTGTAAAGAAGACGACAAGATAGGTCTGGAACAGATTTATCTTCCAGTTTCTGTTATGACTCCCAAAGTACAGTATTAATGGGCGTGACTCGCAGTGGCTCTCCATGGTTTCAGCTTGGAGTCTTTCCTAGATGGAGACAGATGGAGATGAACAGGAGACATCGTGCTTCTATGGCACATGTACAATTGAACTGTGAGCCGCCTTGATCATGACACAAAAGCCTCACTCTATTTTAATTAAGCAAGCTACTCGTGGGTTAGGGTACCACGTTGTCAAGCAAACTATGGATGTAATGCCTTAGGTCTGGTTTATAATCTTACGTACTTTTTTATTCTTTCTCCTTTGGGTCCTGCAAAATGAAAAGCATTATAGTTGAAGGGATAAAGAGGTGGTTCATTTCTGAGATTTGACCTGGAATGGCTTACTGACATATCCAGTTTCCAAAGGGGTAGCTATATTAGCTCTTGTAGTAAGAATAAGCGAGAGTCTTATAAAAAACTTAACATGATTTCTTATAGCATGTGCAGTTATGGATTAGTTGTGGATGTATTGCCACCTGTGCATATGTGTAATTGATAAATCAAGGTTAATTCCATGCCTCTGATGATGTCTCTAGGATGTAAATTAAGCCAGGGTAGGGAACTTAGAGTCCTCAAATGTTGTTCAGCTATCTGTGAGCCCAAACCATCAAGGCCTGTGGTGAGGGATCCTGGGAATCCTAGTTCAGCAAAACCTAGTTCCCCACTCCTGCTTACATTGTACTGAAATGTTTAGCCTTTCAATTTGCTGCCTTGTAAGATATGTTGAGGTTTTAATCACTAGCATTTTTAACCAGCAACTAGAATTTTTGTGGGATTGTATATTTGAGGAAGACCAATTTGGGGGAAAAATAAAATTACCATTAATACCTATATCAATCCTCTCTTTACAGTTTAAGAAAGCACTTTGTAATTCCTGCAGAATGACACGTACTTCTCTTGAGCTAGGCTAAGAATTGGCTTTAAAAAGCTATGGGGAGCATTATTACAGAAGAAGTGCACTGTGTGTGGATAATTCCTCTCTCTGATCCAGATGGTGGGGACTTGCCAAGAAATGGGCTTTCAATCACAAGTTGCCAAGGAAAGGTTATTGCTTTTCTAAAAAAAACTGCAGCAGGTGGAAGATAGAAAGACTTAGAGCATTGAGCAAAAGTTGGCCAAAGCTTCTAGAAAATATGATTGACAGTAGGCTAAGGTAATGCAAATGATAACATTGGTTTGAAGAGCTGTATCCACTTGACTTGCAACCAGATCACCTGGAGATTGGGTAGGCATTGGGTAAACCCAAATAAAGACAAATCAGAAACTCAGTTGTAATACAAGCCCCCAATGCTAGGAATCCTTTGAGACCTAAATGTAAGAATTTGATATAGCAAGGAGAAAGTTAGGCTCAAATTATTGTTTCACCTCTCCATATGCAGCATTTTTCTGTGTTTGTGTGTGTGTGTGTGTGTGTGTGTGTGTGTGTTTTATATAGATGGTTTTTCACTGTGTGAGCTCCCCCTACTTGTCGTTATGATGTGGTGCAGCTCAAACACAGCTTTTTAGATTAACCTCAGCTTTCTACATGGTAGGTTGGATTCAAACTCACATTATGCCATTGTGCTGATAATGGATGAGAATTATAGCCGGCTGTGCCTGTCTTAAAGTGGGTGCATATCATCAAAAGGAATATCCTTGAACAGCATGTTTAATGCCCCAGACCATTATTTGACCTTCTCTTTGCCCTTCCAACTTACCAAAACCAAGTTGTTGACCTCTTGAAAATCAGCAATAGGTTTTTCTGCCTTTTATTTATTTTTTAAATGAGCCCAGTTGCATGATATTGCTATATCTACTTGGTGTCATCTGCGACAACCATTATCCAGCACAGCTCCTGATCAGCAAAAGTTGCTCCTCCTGTCACACAAGTGTAGGGATGCATCAGATGGATTGTGATAATGGTGTATTTCAGCTACCCTTTCTTGGTCACCAGAGTGCCAAAATTTTAATTATCACTATCCAGAATAACTCTGCTGTAGGCAACTTGTCACTAAAGAAAAGTCCTATAAAAGATGTGGGAGAAAAGGTCTTTCAGAAATAAATCCGGCCAAAACTTCCTTTTTGCTCTGCATTTAATTTAAGATATTTATTGCCTGGTGCAAAGCCTGATAGAGGAAATGGCTCTCTGCTAAATTGTTGGCCAGAGAAATATTAAACCTGAGGAGAGATCAGAATCCAAAGGAGTGGAGCTTCGGGATTGTGCTGTTTTTCCTCAAATAGAGCTGAAGGCTTTTCTAAACCAAGAGCTGTCTGGTGGGACATGCTGCCAAATACTTAAACACCTCACCCTGTGAACTGTAATGCCAAGAGATTGAGAGCTGGATATTCCATTAACGTAGTCCATTGATGTTGCAAAGAAACAGCAATTTACTCAGCAATTACCTTACTGAACATTGGAAAAGCTGCCCTTTAATTTATGTCGTCATTTAAACAAAAAGAAGTAAGGCAGATATATTTGCCCTGCTGTGCATGGACATGGAACTCAAAGATAACCTCAAGGAGTTAAAACAACAAAATTAAATATCTGGAAGGTGTAGCATCTGCAGAAGGTATTGGGTATGTTTTAAAGGGGTGGGGGGAAAGGCTGGAGTTTGTAGAGCACCACCTAGAGGGTTGGAGGGGAAGGACACCCAAATAGCTTCTTGGCATCTAAATTGGATTTTCCACCAACTGTCTTTCCAATGTTTTAAACAGCATTTTTCATCACCCCTAAGTTAGTCCTTTAGAACATGTTCTTTTAACTGACTACAGTGTTTCAATAGTTTAGAGAGTGCCAGTGGTGAAACCTTGCTCATGTTTCTGCTATTTCCTATTTTAGAAAGCCAGGTTGGTGTAGTGGTTAAAGCATCAGGCTAGAAATTATGAGATCTTGTCCTATCTCAAGAGACAGAGCTAGCAGTGTGACCATGGGCCATTCACTCTCCCCAGGCCTTAGGAAGGGAGGGGGAAAAAAACTACTGAAAAAACATGCCAAGGAAACTGCATGGACCCATCCAGGTCTCTGATAATCAGATACGATTGAATTAGGGTGGGGAGGGGGAAGAGATTCTTTTGCTAATTGAAATCTTCCTTTAATTCAAAATTAAATTTGGAAAATTGGAAGCTCTGGCCATGAGCATCCTGCATGTGGAACTAAGCTATTCCCAATAAGCATTCAGATCAGCTGCTTAGAGAACTCTCAATAGGTATCATCACCTGAGTGGACAGAATTGCACCCAAACTATGTGTCTGGACTGGCATTGCTTCAGCAATTAATGTTTAATTTGTTATTTTGCCCACTCAAGATATCAGCTGTGTGCAAAGTGGTGCTTTTGTGCCCCTGTTCCTCTCATTCCTCCAAGTAGAGAGATGTACTGGCTTTTCCTCAAAACAGGAAATATGAAGTTATCCTCTATTGTCCCTGAACTGGATGGATTTGGTTGTGTGATGTGTCTACAAATCTGTCCATAAAGAAATGTTGCATGTCAAAAAGAGGCATTCAGTTGCATGCTCATGTCCACCATCTTGAATTTTTTTACATGCCTGTCCACAAGAGGGCGCCTCGTGGCAGGGGAAGCCTTGTTTATCTATGTAGCAGTTGTCATCATTTTTTATTAATCTTACCGCAATTTTACTTTAATTTAAAAAAAAATCAATAGACGTGAAATGCATTGGGTACACAGTTAAGCCATATTCTTTTAGGGGCTTCCTAAAACACGAGCAATCTTTGAAGAACAGTTGCCCTGATGCAGATATATTTGCAGGGAACCGGAACATGTAAAGACTTCAAATTCTCTTCCAAATTATCTGTAATGAATATGGTTATATTTAGGAGGTTTGCAGGAAAAGTAGACGCTTAAAGGTTTTGTTTTCAAATTTATGAGGTTCAAAGTGAAATATGCAAAGTAAAAGCAAAGGTCCCGTTTAAAAGTCGGGCTGGTTTCAATGGACAATAAGCTTTATCTCAGCCCTGCTTCTAATCCTTTATAGATGTTTGACTGGCAGTTCCTCCCCAGTTATTGTTGAGATCACCGTATCATCAGGTCACCAGGGTGATTCTCCTATGCAATTTTTAAACATTTGTGTTTTACTTATAGATAATGGAACAATGTTTTTATCTAAAGTCAAATATCATAGCAAAGTATACAAGCTTCTCTGTTTTGCAATTACCAAATCTAAGACATATTACCCGTCAATGGTTTCTTTAGTTTCAGCTTTCAAAAAATTAGTTTTTAAGGTTAAAAAAGAATTTTTAAAAATCTTATACAAATCTTTAAAACTCAAATGTTTCTGTTGTGCAGTTGTGGTACT